TTATTTATTATCTTATTATTTCCTGTATTCTTTTCTACAGTCTTATGCATTATCTATCTATTTATCATTTAATTTATATTTACCGTTTTATACGTTTTTACTAATAAATATATATACCCATATCAATGAGATAAATTAGTTTATCCCAAGCATCTTTATTCTATTTATATAGAAAATATACATAGTATGCAATAAAAGAAGCTGAAAAAGTAGTATAATAAATAAATATATAAATATATATATATATATATATACGTGCCACAGATTAATAATGAATACTGAATCATCAATAAACGTTTTTTCACTACAATAGGTGGACGTGTTATGTTATTGTATAAATCTATTTGCCTCGTTTTTCTTCAACTAAAAAATAGAAAGCTTATATTGATGATCTGATCATATTTTATTATATATACACATATAAACTGTAGTGAAAAAAGTAAGTAAAAATACAGGTTCTCAGCTCTCTCTCTCTCTCTCTCTTTCTCTCTCTCTGTGTCTGTCTATCGATCTGTCTGTCTGTCTATCTGTCTCTTACACTTTTTCCCTCCCTTAAATGTTCTCAATTTGTTTAATGAAATATTTATCCTTAATAAAATGAAAATTAGTATCTTCCACAATTTTATAAATGTTCATAAATGTAAAAATTTTTTTTCAAATGATTTAAGCATATTTATGCAATTTACGTACTTGCAAACTAAATATTAAATTACGAGATATATATTTTACATTTAAGGTAATTCTGTTTAATTCACATTTCTATCTGAATAATCAATATTTATTGTTTAAATTTTGAATTTAGATTAGAAAATATCATAATTATTCTAAAGTAGCTAAAAAAAAAACGTATAAACGTATAAATTAGGCAGTAAAAAATGTAAATCATGAAATGGAGAAACTAAAAATATAATATTGTAACTTTTTATTTAATAGGATTGTAGAAATTATGAATAAAAATATTTGTTACAGCACAAGGTTGTGGATATAATTTCTATATAATTTAGTAAGATACAAATTTTTTTATTGAACTTTAATTATTCAATCTTTTAAAATAGTTTGTTAATCTATTGACATTTTATTAAAGTTTATTCTTGAAAATTGTTTTAGAGTGCATTGGTGTATTAGGCTTGTGGAAATCAATAATCAAATTATCAATTATGACAATTCTATTATACGAATGAATAGTTATTTAGTATTATAATGCAATTAGAATTTACATTATAAACTTCTTTATTGTGAAAGTTGCTGATAATAATTATATTGTATATTGTATAATATTTACAATTTTTACATTAGCATATTATGTTCGTAAAATAGACAGTTACTTTATTGTTTATAAACAATAATTATATAAATTATAAACAATCTATATATTATTATTAATTTACTTTTCATTATAATTTTATCTCACATTTTGTCGTAATGTAAAGAAAGAGTCAAAATAAACTAATCTACGATACTATTAAAGAAACTAATTCAATCAACTAAATAACACAAAACTTTACAATACATATCAGTTAATGTAGTTTACATCTCTTATATCTAATTCTGAAATTATTCATTCCCTTTTCCACCATTTTCTGCATTTTTTGCAAATTTTTATTCAACACCTACTTGATTCTCAATTCTTATTATTAGCCGATGTATATCATGAGATATACAAGCAGAATTGATGGAATATTTACCATTTATATTAAAGTATATATGGATTCCATATATCCTACTACATAGTATCGATATCGATGGGCCATTAGTGTCATCCGTGGTGTATTAGTCTGCCCGTGGCATCGCTGTCAATTTTTCAAATTAATTCGTTGATCAGATACACCAGACGTCCTAAAGCAACATTTTGTTTTATAGTCACGCGTAACGATCGATTGTTTCCTCAAGTATGACTTTATTCTCTCCTTTATTTTCTTTTGTACATTCGCGTCACGCGATTGACCTTGCAAAGTTAGCCATTTCGGCAGATCGATCTATTTTTCCTGTACCGCCGAACTTGATACTTAGCCCATCACGTGCGGCTAGTGTTAAGGAGAGCATCAAGAGCTTTACGAAATTCTTACGGCTAAAAAAGTCACGCATAATATGACTTATTAGCTTTCTATGGTAAAGTAAATGGGATCTATGAAGAACATTGTAAAAAATTGTCTTCTACATCATTTATAAGCGTCGAGAAGATTAGTTTAAGTGTCGTAGCAATAATTTTGATTTTTGACATATTACCTTAAATAATAAATGCGGTTGTTAAACAATTTTGCATTGTATTTTGTAGAAATTTCATTAATAGTCATAATAATTAATGATAATCTGCTATATGAAAAATTCAATTTTTTTCTTCATATTCGTAGTTTCATAATTAACATTAGAAAACAATCAAATTTAATTTTCATTGTTTTATAATAAAATTGCTATTTTCGTTATTCATGCTAATAAATAATTTTTATGTCTGTTTTGTAATATTAAAAAAAATACATACATTCGCGGATATTGTTCTTCATCGTAGTTATTGTATTTATTTGCTCCAAATAATATTAATTACAAATATTTAGATATTTAGGTATACCAGATCAACAGAATAAAGTATTTTATTATACAAGCGTATATATGATTTCAATTGTTGTAGTACATGTTGCTGTGTGCATGCGTACGTATGCGCGTGTGTGAATTTTACTTTCACTGTAAGCTACATGTTGATTTGTCGTCATGTTGATTGTATTTTTTATAGTAATGATTGAACTTTATTATCTTATAAGATAGTATTTTGGTTACTGTGTTGAAAATCTATTTTAACTCCACGGAGAAGACTTTATTATCTACAATATTTTCAACATAATAGATATTTTTAATAAATATTTTCAACGTATATAATAAAATAATAAATACATAATTGATATTGTGTATTATAGACAAAGTATAATTAATTCACCAATACCAGCTTTTTCTTTTTATCATAGCAAAGATAATTATTCGAATAATAAAATTATATATAAACACTTGTTTCGAACTTTGAAATAAAATTTTAATCAATAATTTACATTCTAAAGATCTGTCATTATCATTTCTTCGTATAATAAGTAATATTAATATGCAATGAGATTAGAGTATTAAAAATATTAAATATAAAATAGTAGATTTTCTTTTCTTTGCTCGCGTACTGTGTAATAATAATTAGCTAAATATTTATTAAAAACTTTTTATTTTTATCAGTCTATTTTTTTTTTTAATTTTATACGCGCTAGCTCATAGAAATCATGGCCTTAATTACAAAAAACATTATAAGTTTTATTTTTATATAACTTTTTGTGCTTAAGCAATGACAGTATGATGACAAGCAAAAGACTAAAAAAAATTGTTTTTTTATCTTATACAGGCAGTTTATAGAGTGAAAAGTCTATTATTATATAATAATAGAAATTATACTCATTTTTAAACCGTTGACGAGTGAAAATTTCATCATTGATTTGTATTTATAACTTATGATTACAAAAATTGCATAATAATATGAACGAACTTATCATAAAGACGACTAATCAGTCATTGTAAATAAAATTTTTTAGTATAAATTGCAAAATAATAATAATGATAGTAGAACTATAATTCTATATTTATTTCTATTTTTTTATTATATATTTAAACTGGAAACAATAATTACTAGTTTTTGTGATACAAACAACAATTCAAGTTTCTCTTTGTAATTTCAAGCTCAATTTTAGATTTAAACTATGCTATAATCGAGCTACTTTAAAAAATGTTAAACATTTGATTAAATATGAACCCTTATTGTTTAAAAAATATAATTTCAATTAAAATTATACCAATCAAAAATTAATATATCGTTAATAATTAATTTTTAAATTGACGCATATTTTTGATTAATTTTTTTTAACAGCGGTAATATATATTTGACAATTACTTTTTATTAATACTTGTGAAGTTACGAGTTTTGATTGAAACAATATAAATTTCAGTGAGAAAATATTTTGTGATTTTTGTTTTAAGAATTTCAATAAAATTATCGAACGAACCACTCTATACAATATTGGATGAATTTTCTAAATATCATAAAATTTTAGTTAAATAAGCGTTATAAATTAAAATTCATAATAATTTTGGATGCGGATAAATAATATGGTGTAAGAAATATATTCTTTTAAAATATAATGACAATTTAAATCGGCATTCATAAGTCGGTCGGAAAAATTCAGCGTACAAGTTTAATATTATTTAAGTAATATACAATAAAATTGCTTCTAAATTCAACTTTATATTTTGTTAAATGTGGTTTCATATGTTTTGAAGCAATTTATAAAGAATAAGGCTTTGAATTATTGACATTAAGCCACTTTGTTCATAAGTCTTACATGCAAGCTTTATATATTTTCGTACTAGTTGTATAAAATTTAGCCTACAAATTGTCATCGTAATTTGAAAAATGTAAAATTATCATACATTTACAGAGAAGATATTAAGTAAAGTTAATATTAAGTAAATACTATGAAATTTCTATATATTGTGCATCACAATTGCATTATTTTATTTCTACCATTATGCATGTGTTCATAGATTGCGAGATTTATTTGTAAGTAAGCTACATCTAATACATCTAAATTGTTAAAAGGGTAATAAAATGTATGTTTTAATGTTTTATATTTTAAAATATACTTACTAAGGCAAACTGGTAAAAATTATTCCTATACAAAAATTTTAATGATTACAATGTGTTATATCATTTCATTAGTTATCGATTATTAAAATTGAATGTATCATTTCATAGACACTCGTTTGAAGTTCCTATATACGATGAAATATTGAAAAAATATTATATATAATGAAGCTTCCTTGAAATTATCAGGTTAATTGTATATTTTAATTTTTTATTTCTTATATATTTAATATATTGCTTTAATTGAATATAATACTGTGAGGCGAATTTTTAAACTATTTTTTACTTTAGAATGTCTAATTTTATATATACGTATAGCAAAGAACATTCTTACCCAACATCTTGAGAACTCTTCTTGTAGATCTGCTATGCTTGCAATGTCGGTCAATCCGTGAACTACCGATTTTAATTTTCGAACTGTCGGATCTCTTATGCTGCTGCCGGCTGTTGCTCTTGATTAACGTAGATCTTTGCAATTTGAGGCCTATTAGCATATACAGTACCATGATCAAAGTCATCGGTATTATGAAAAATAAAAATGTCGACAGCTCAAACGAATGTTCTACAATAACTTGCTTAAAATGGCACACAACGTCCTCTGGTCTGCTTGCAAATTGCACGATTCCGAATTGCAAGGCCTGCGGTATGGCGCAAATCAAAGCGATCAGCCATATAAACAATATTAATTTAACGGCGCGTGAAAGTTTTGACATGGTTTGCGATAGGAAAGGGTGACAGATAGCCACATAGCGCTCGGCGGTAAAAGCCGTAATGGTTAGGACTGAAGCATTGGTTGATGTCTCGGCGGCTAGTCCCCTTAACACGCAAAACACCTCACCGAACACATAAGGATATTTAGACCAAACTTGATAGATCTCCACAGGCATGCCACATACGAGGAGCAATAGGTCCGAGATCGCCAAACTGAATAAATAATAGTTCGTCGCGGTGTGCATGGATTTGTTGCGCGAAATGACGATGCAAGTGCTGATATTGCCAACTGTACCGGTTACGAAGATCGATGCATAGATTATGCTAATGGGAATGACTACGTATAATGGATCGTGTACAGGTCCATAATTAACTTGTAGCTGCTCCTCAAATTGTAGCTGCATTTGCTCCAGTAGGCTCGTATTGGTCGAGTTAAGCTTATCGTATGGGTTTTCCATTTTTATCGGACTCGGATTTGATTGGTGTGTGCTAATGTTCTTACAGACCGCTGTTTCATAATTTACAAAGACCTATGCATACAAAGTCCATGGTAAATCGTTGGACAGTGCTTTAAGCGAATCGTTAGATGTTATGGGATCCGGCACATCGTTATTCTATCGAAGCTAGATGGAGCAATGCTCAAATGCAAAATTAAGACAATTGCGAGATTCACAATTTTTATTTCCAATAGGCTACTACTTATCAATGATATTAATCAATAAATCAATATACTCGAATGATCGCTGCTCTTGCTAAGACCATATATGCCCACAGTCTGGATTGGCCTTTAAAAGCATAGCTTACATCTTTTAAAAGTCACAGTGCCCATGTTTGACGCCTTATTACGACTACGATAATTTACAATAAACAAATAAAATAAAATAGATTCTGGAGAGTGATCTATCCGAGCGGCGACTCTACATCGCGTTTGAACGTTCGGTAATTAATTGGCTATTTTAACTTGAGGTTGAAAGTTAATTAGAGAGCTCGATTACGCGATTGCATCAAAACTATGAGAGCGCTTAAGTTATCGCGTCCCGGGTTAAACGACAACTGACGATACGTCGTCGTTGTGATCGTCTCTGATGCGGAGGCACTACTGTTCTACCACGGTGTCGTCTACATGTAACGCGTTATTTGGCGGGGAGAGCGGGTGAGCTGCGCAAGCGAATGG